TTATGAACGTTTAAAGTTTACTCAGTTTCCGGCGAGTTTTCCAGTTTTCCCTCGGACCAGTCAACTTTGAGGCTATTTTCTGGCATCTCTGGCATCCATTGGGCTTCTAAATAGGTATAATCGTATTCTACACTTTCCTATCTTCATTTTGATATATTATGGGTCGAATTTGGTTAAGAAACGATTGAGTTACGAAGCTTTGAAAATTGCTCAAACTTCCGGCCAAGAGCTCCTGGACACTTAACGGAGTTTTTAACGGAATGATTAAAATGATGGATGGTGGACAATCTCAGGGACCACTTTTATCGATTTGAAATGTTAGGGACCAAAGTGATAAGTTGTGCAAATCTTAGGGACCATTTTAGCTATTTAGCCTTAAATAGAAGAAGAATCTGACTGTTTGTAAAAGGACATGGAACTTGCTTGGAATCTAGTTCTTTTGGCCGTTTACTTTCCCACCAAATAATGTATGTCAATTTTTTAGAAACTGAAAATTTCCATGGTATAAATACTGAAAATAAAAAATTAAAACAATTTTTTTTGTAGTTTTTATATTAGGAAACTTTATTTTAATAATTAGCAAAGATGACATTTAGATTAAAACCATAAGTAAGATCAAAATCTAATTTTAGTCCCTTGATACATTAATCACCTCATCTATTAATTAATTTTGATGTTTTAATTATTTCTCTTTTTCTTCCTAACTTTAATATATTAATTATATTTCATTATAATTATAATTTTTATTTCATTCATCGTAATATATTTTGTTGTAAATCTTAGATAAACTAATTTATGTTATACAATATATTTAGATATACCTTGTTTTCTTCATTTAGATATATCAAATTCATTATAATACATTTCGGTGCATACATTTAGGTACACACATTTCAGTATATATATTTTGATACAAACATTTAGGTATATTAATTCAATATAATATATTTTGGTGCATACATTTAGGTACACACATTTCAGTATATATATTTTGATACAAACATTTAGGTATATTAATTCAATATAATACATTTCGGTACTAACATTTAGGTACATTAATTGAGTCTTTCAACTTTGAAGAATGCTAAATAAAACTAATAAATTAAAAAACTTTTTTTGGTCAAAAAATGACACACCTTGACTGAGGTCAAGGCATGCTGGTTGTCACGTGAGAGTGACGTAGCCATGTGCACAGTGCAGAAGAGATAAAGATAGCAAATATACGAATAATTTAAAACCACATTAATAGAGTGTACTGCTAGTAGGGAGTGATAGAAGTTAGTTACAACCGTAAACACTCTTAATCAGAGCGTAAAAAGTCTAGGTGCAGTCTAGTAGGACAAGTACTAGTACACAGTATCAGAAATGTCCTACTATTAATCAAATAGGTCAGAACTGCCGACGATCCTGAGCCACCAACAGCAAGCTTACTTAGAACCTAGAGGGGCGCAAAACAGAAAACGTGAGTGGGCAAAAACAAATGTTTTACAAAATCATTTCATTTATCAATATACTAACCCCTCGCTGTAAAATATGTATTATTTTCCCAGAATCAAGATATAAGCATACACATATACATACATATACATATATATATATATCTGAAATCATATCAATTCAGTTCATGCTTCACATAATCATATTCATATGTATGCCATGCCAAAATGTAACAAAGTAAACAATCCAGGTAATAATAATTTCATAGAAATATGATATGTTAGCCGGAACTTCTGTGGTAGTCTATACGGCTGAATTCATAGCTCAAACTCAATCTAGCCGGAGTCACTACTGTGACCTATACGGTAATATACTACACATAAGTCGGAACCCCTAGACAGGGTCTGTATGATAAGGTTGGGTGTAATATAATTATGCTCAACTCTATTCTCTCATAATAGCCGGACGATAAATCGCTAGTCACCTACGAGTCGGAACCATGAATAAGGTTTGTACGACAAGACTGTGCACTTAAGTTGGATCCAATATGAGCATATAGTGCGGGAGGTGACGTAAATAAACAAGCATGTACTTCATATCTCTGGCTAATTCACAATCATCCTAGGTGCAGCTTTATGAGCTCAACATTACTTAATCACATATCACATCGTCGATGATTCACACAACCAAACATAACTTACCTGAACTCACCTGTGCCTCCACAACACCACATTTATATATATACATATGCAACAATGCAATGCATATTCAAAATATAGAAGCATTTGGCATATTATTTCTAAGCATACTTTGCTTAAAAATGCATTTCTGGGAAATATATCAAGTATATAAGTATATACTGAAAACAAAAGCCCACTCACTGGTATGTCGAAGGGTCGTAGCCCCCGAGTCGCTCGTGGATACGCTCGTCCTCGGGATAAGTCTCACCTCTATGCGAATTAACTATAAAAATGTTATTTTAAAGCACATATACAAAACTAGCTAATAACTTCTCATACATTGATCAATTTTGGTATTTAAATATACCAACGTGACCTACACAACCTCATGAACATTGTGATATTTTTAGATAAATTTTTAGGTGGCTCACCCGCCCCCACGCACTGGGGAGGGCATGGCTTCACGCGCGGCCCACGCGCATCGTCTTCAACCTTCAGACGCTAGAACTATGTTACCAGTGCCGGATTCTGGGCAGACCTGCAACTGCCCATTTCTCACTCGTTTTTGCACCACTTTTCAAGTATTTTATACCAAAATGAAGCTCTTAACTTGTAGAACACAATCATACTAATTTAAAGTTCTAAAAGTCACAGAATCTCACCGGAGAATTCAAAGAAAACCGGCCAAACTTCGTCCACACAAACCCGACGTCCAAAACCTTCAAACAAAGCACTCCAAGCTTCCTGGGGACCTCACTAAGCTTCCTACAAGCTTGGATTGTCATAAAACATAACCATTTAAAAGTTCATGAATAGTGCTCAACTTGGAGCTTGAATTTTCAACGTGATATCGAACGAGTTCTTACCTGAAATGGGTACCTTTGAACTCGTATGGTCCTCACGAGCACAATGGTACTAATTTTGGCCATGATCCGTGAAGTTTCAAGGGTCTTGGGTGCTTGTCCGTACCATTTCGAAGAAGAGAGAGAATCTGAGAGATAGAGAGAGAACACGGGAGGGAAGAGAGAGATAAAGTAATGTGGATGTGTGTGTGTGGTCCAATCTATACACTAATCACAACTAACCAAGGTTTAGTTCTCATAGGCCCCAAAAACTTAGGAAAATAATTATATTGGTCCACTTCTAAAACCATGTCATATACGACTCATCTCAACGCCCAAGGGCATTCTAGTCTTTTCACACCTTCGATAAAAGTATTTCGGAACGGACTGTGACAAAAAATAAATTAAAATGTGTTTATTAATAAATTTAAATATTTAATGGGAGACATTGAATAAAATAAACATTAGTTAATTTGAACTAAGCACACATCAATGGACTATAATCAATATGTAATCTAACGCCAGGTTTTTATTAAATCACAAGCTTCTTCAAGGGTTGTTTTATTGGCACCCCATATATGTTGTTGAATGCATCCTACATACTTAAAACATCCTACACATACTTGTTTTTTTTTTTTAAACAAATGATATTATCTACACTAAGGGAAAGGGTGCTAACGGAAAAGTTCTTTTATATTTGGCTTGGTTTTGATCTTTATGTCACATTGTTTTCAACTGAAAACAGTTACTAAAAATTTTTTGATTTAAAAAAAAATTAAAATAAAAAACTAGAATAATTATCAAACAAGCCTTTAATTTTATTCATTTATTTAAACAAAAATGGCACATTAGTTATGTATATATTAATTTTTTTTTAATCTACTAGAGGGATAATATATGCAAATTCAGATAGTTGAGATTATCACGCCCTGATCCTGAGGTCAGGATCAACATTTGACGTCACCAAGTACTTGCACGTCTCTCATGTCTCACCTCCGAGGCATGACCCAAAACCCAATCAATGGTTCCACTACGCAGCAATTCTTCTTTTATTCCATGGCTATATATAACCTCTGTTAGATTGGTTATGTACCTTAAAACGGAATCAAGCCATTCTCAGTTCACCATTATTAACCCCGACGTTTCTCATGGCATCTCTCAATAGGAAAATAACATAAAGTTCCAGAATCACTCCATGGAACTCAACGAGTATAATTCACTAGATTCTAGACTACTTAAAAAAAATATATAATAACCAAGAATTCCATTTCATCCATCACATACCTCACACTATCTTCCAATGACAAGTCAACAATCACGAGAAAATAATTGATCCAATGAATCAAAGAAGCACCATATTAACATTTAATTACGTTAATCATCCATTAAGACCAAATATCACTTCACTAAGATTAATGGAGCTAACCACTGTAAAGTCTACCGTATTTCCTTCAATCTGGAAGATTTGTATATCGGATTTCCGATTAGTAGATTCCAAAGGTCCTTACATAATAAATACAATAACATACTAAAATTCGATAACGATCCAACAATCAGATCATCGACTACCTACAAGAGTCCATAATCTAAGATTCTTTAATTCGAAAGATCCCTACATTGGATTTCTGATCTGTAAGTCTCTAAGGTCCTCATATACTACGTACAAAACATATTAAAATTTCGTATATATTGTCATTTCGTGTATGAAAGTATATTTATTTTTAAAAATTGCTATTGGCTCTCTAAAAATAATTTTACACTTGTTAATCTTTTTTTTCCATCCGTAAGGGGTGGAATATGACTTTTTTGGAAGGACAATACTTCCCTCATTCCAATTAGAGAAACGATTCCATCTCACATGATAGTGTCCTAATTGATGTTGGCATATAATGATGCGGGATTAATGCTCCGACGCATACTATACACTGAGGTTTTAGGCTGTTAGAAATCCAAGACCAAGAATTAATTGCCAAAACCTTAGTGCATAAGATACTTCAGAGCATATATAGTATAATTTTTAACAGATTGCATTTGCTAAATAATAAATTATCTTATGCTTGAACTTCTTCCAATCCAATAACCATATCAAGCAATACGACATATTATTCTCAAGAACATAGGCCACCTTAATGCGATAATCCAGCATCAGCTAAATGACATTGTTACTGAATAGTGACTAGGCAGTTCCAGCATTCAATTCATTACTACAAATTGCGAGAGAACCCGACACACGGACTAGGCAGATTTTTCGTCCCCACGGAGAGCTGATTACAAAAAATCAGTTTGGTTGAGGTGACTAACATCACCTAAGGATTTTACGGTCCATTTTTCGTCATCGTACAAGCGAAATACATGGATCGATGTATTGGGTATAATTTTGCCAATAAAATCGCCATTTGGGTAACCCTTCGTGAGGAGTGTATGTATGACCGCCCCATGGGTGACCGCAACTACTCGCTCTCCTGCGATTGTAACAAGCCAGATATAAACATTCAGATTGTAATTTTTGTCGCCACTGATCTAAATTGGCATTTGTTATTGCGGCTTAGTTCTGACATGTGTTACATTCAACAAAGAACCAGTTAGTTTTCTTAAGTACTCATGTAATCTCAAACAAAATTTTTACGAATTCCGTAGCAGTAAAAATACAAATGCGACATCCGCCCGTGATAACATACCTTTGTGTTTATTGCCAATTCGCTGCAACGAAGATGTGCAGCGTTGATAATGTTGATCAAGACTTTCTTCAGCACCCTACATGGGTAGAATAATGGAATCAACATAAATTTGTATTGTATAATTAGGCAGGAAACAACATTACTAATATTACAATCTTATATGCTATGAGTCCTCTCTCCCCGACTGTGAAGACAGGCGGTACCAAGATTTCGGAAAGACAGTCCGAAATCAAGGCGCACCGACCAATTCCATAAAATTTCTCATTGGAGTACTTTTATAATGTGGATGTTATATCTGCTTACAAAATTCAAACAAGTACCGATTGCTGCATGCTCAAAACCCAAGTAAAAGAAGATTGCTTACCGGGAAATCTTTACTTGTGTCACCAGATAAAAAGGCCTGGTAAGCCTCAGGATACAGTTTGGGAATTTCATGGTATGCAAGTCCTTGAAGAACACCTTTATGCCTTTCTCGTAGATCAGGATCGGTAACAACCTGAATTTAACCCAAAAGATTTTTTACATTTGGTTTCAGATCGAAATTAGATTTTATCCAGTATCATTTTTCTGTAGCACTGATTTAGCTGAGTTGACTCCATTTTGTTGTCTACTTATTACCAAAACGCGGTAAATTTATACACCCAGCTTCCAAATTCATTTCTGTCCAAAATTTCTAGATTAGAGCATGAAGAAAGCAGTTGCGGTACTATAATTTACGGAATCTGCTTTGCTTTAGTAGATGCAACGAAGTACAAAAAAATATTACCTACCTTTAGCCCACCGCACCTGGATGCAATTATCTGTGCAGTCTCATAAGCTCGACTCAGGTCTGAAGAATATACAAGGGAGATTTTGGGATCCTTGGATAATCTATCACCCAGCTACAGGGCGTAAACGAAAAATTTGTCAGACATTAACAAGCGAAGGGTACGTAAGGCTCAAAACTGTCATATGAGTTCCTCAAATAGCACGTATACATACAGTTTGTAACTTACTGCGGCTGCTTGCTGCCTCCCAGCGTCATTTAATTCGACATCCAAAGTCCCCTGCCCAACATAAGTTTACTTTTTTCAGAAAAGAAGGGTGCGGCAGTCCTATAGTTTACTGAAAACAAAGAGACCAGAAAGGCTTTACTTGAATTTAAAGTACAGCTGAGGGTATTCCTCTACTCATCAAACAACTAACAAAACAACGTATTTTAAGTGAAAAATAGGACCTGGATTCTACCGTCAGCATTCCAGACCGTTTCGCCATGACGCACTACAAGGATCTCCGCGTAATCCGAGTCAACACTGCTGCATTGAATCCACAAGATTAAAAAAGGATTGAATTTCAAGCTTCATTTTTTTTAAAAAAAAAATTATTGACGAAGTATGCGATTGGAAGGAAACGGAGGATTGAGGTACAAGGAGAATGAGAGGGACCTGGAATCGGCCTCCGCCATGGATGAATCGGGAACTGACGCCGCCGCCGTACCGACGCTGAGCTCTGAGCTCCGTGAGGCGCTAAGGGTTGAGTGAAAGTGAGAGGAGGGTTAAGAGTGCGCATTGCAATAATTGTTAATTAAATAGAAGAAGAGTCTGATTCTGTGAAAAGACATGGAAATTGCCTGGAATCAGTTCTTTGTGGCAGGCGTTCACTTTCCCACAAGATATGCTCCACTGACGTTAGTTCAAAGAAAATTGTGACATTTTGCTGACCTTAGTTCAATGAAAATTGTCAGTGGTTTTTGTCGGATTTGTGCATAGAAAAAGAGGATGGATTGCGGTTTATTTAATTTTTGCTCTCTAGATATTACAAACGATAGTATGTACACTAAGGTGTGGAGAATAGGCTAAGTCTCACACTGGGTAACGTATTATATGGTTCAACTCCGCCTTTAGCGAAAATCAAGCAAATGACTTTTTACTTACAAGTGAAGATGAATATCAATAGACTGTAATACTAAGTGGCACATTAGATGAGTTATTATTACTTCTGATGACACGCCCCGACCCTGATATTCCCCGAATACCAGGATAAACACGTGTTGGCCGACACCTAAGGGTGACGAAAGCGATTAATTGATACAAAAGCTAAGAATAAGAAGTAATTAAGGGTTATGAATTTAAAAACAATGAATTAATAATTTAGAAACGAGTTCAGAGTATACAACTAACTAGAGCTCTAAAAGAATTAATATAAAATTGAATAAATAAAAGGATGTGGTACCTACACCGAGAGGACTCGAATATGCCAATGCGAAAGTGTTGACGTTGGGATCGTATGCCTCGATTCTAAATTCTGAAAGGGGGCGCAAAACAAGGATGAGTGGACCAAAACAGTTATGAACATACTAACTCCCAAGTTTATATATAATGAAAACTACTAGCATAATAAGTGATAGGTTTTCTGAACTCTAGCATGCCATAAAACATCTCAACAGGTATAACGCGGAAAACCATCATATAAATCATCGAGTATATCGTCTTGTAGATTGTCTTGTAATCGCAGTATACTGCTAGTAAGATCACTGAAATAAATATAACTCCTGGCCATATGCCAACACCATGGTCTCTGCGCCCGTAGCCAGAGATTACCAACTCCCGGCCCAATGCTTGCTCTGTGTCCCTCAACCCGTAGCTAGGGATTATTTCTCCCGGCCTATCTACCAACACCAGATCCTCGCCTCAGGCGACATAGTGTCCACTAGGTACGCACAAATAGTTACGCCTCTCATAAATAACCACTTCATAGTATAAAGTCATCTATCTTCTATACTATAAAGAGGGGTTTTGAAAACACTTTCTAGTATCCTTTCGTCATCCATCAGATAGTCTACCAGTTCATGGTTTTATAGAAAATACGATATATTAAAATATAGCTCAATATAGGCCAACAATTAATTCCTCACTAAAAACACGAGATGAAAATCAACATATTAAAAAAAACATGCTTAACATAAAATCAAATCATAAACTCGTAAGGCATGCTATTCATTTATGAAATTGAACTATAAAAATCATGTAATTTTAGAAAGGATCCACTCATAGTACTTAGCCGCCAAAAGCTGCACTACTAACGAAGACGGAAACGTCACAATAATTGCCCCTAAACACATAAATAGTACATTTAATCAAACTCTACTCAAACGATTTAATTTAGGAAAACGGACTTCAGAAACAGGTCCAGGACGTCGAAATTAACCTAGGAGAGGTCTCAGACGAAACCCCGAAAAGTCAACGATGACCGTTGACCGGTCAAAGTCAACGCTGATCGTTGACTGGTCAAAGTCAAATTCAAAGTCAACGCTGATCGTTGACCGGTCAAAGTCAAAGTCAACAGTCATAGTCAAGGGTCAAAGGTCAATTGGGTGAGGATGCACGGTGGTGTGCGTGGTTTGTAGAGAGAGAGAGGGAGAGAAACAAAAATAGAAAGAAGAAGAAGAAAGAGTCACCAAGGGGGGAATAGAGAGAGAGATGAGGTTTGTTAGGGTGCTGCCACGTGGCAGTTTGAGGGGGTTTAGGAATCTAGATAAAGGGTCTAGATTTAGTCAATCTAGGGGACCAAAATGAAATTTTCAATAAAACTTTGGGAAATTATAAAATTACATATAAATTCGGGGGTGGGGTTTAACATTAGATTCTCTATAGTGTTTATTTTTTAGAGCAATTTCAGCTACATGGTTATTTATACTTTTCTTGTTACAAACAATCTTCTATATGGCCTAGTATTAATCTATTGTTCATATCTTGTTTTAGAATTATCGTTGGGCAATTGGTATGGTTCTAGTACTTCTCTTTTCTCTTTGGATTGATAAGTGGTTGGTTATGCCTATTATGGAGGCCGTTGTTGCTACTAAGCTTGCTCATTCTCTATTTCAGACAAAAGTCTCAGACATTATGATATGGAAAATGGGTTATTCCTCCTATTTTTCTTCTTCTACTTTTCAGAGTTAGGTAAAGAGATTTTAGAGATGCCTCTTATAATTGATGAGGAAAAGGATGTGTTAATCTGAGATGCACATTTTGAGATTTTTCATTTTTTGATGGCTATGAAACTGTTCGTCTTCGGTTTCCTGTTAAAAGTTAGTCTTCCATTATTTGGCATCCTTTCATTCTAGCTCGCTACTTTATTTTAGTTTGGTTGATTCTTTTTAATAAGCTACCAAAAGAGAATCAACATCAAGTAGGGGACATTCCTTTATTTCCAATTTTTTAGTTGTGAATTTGCACAACATGCTTGGTGTTAAAACTAAATTTGTGCACTACCTTGAAGGGTCGGGATGCACAAATTCGACAACCTATAAAATAACAAATAACCGTAAGCAACCTAAGGATCGGTAGGGTACTAGTCAAAGACTCTCTAACGGTCAAGTTAGTAAGCAATATTTGAGACTCAAGCAGTACATAAGATAATTGTGTTACCAGAGATGAACCCAGAATGGTGTATTTATACTAGTTGAGATAGAGTTATTTTAGGATATAGAATTTGTATTAAACCATGAGAATCCCACAAGATATCTATGAGTAGATATTGAATCCTCTTAGTGGTATGATTACTTGTGGTGCACACCAAATCCCTAGATTTTAGGAATCTTCCAGATTTAAGGAAACTTGGTTGATTCTATACTAGAACAAATTTCTGTATCTTGCTGAACAAGCATGGTTAATCTCAGTGAAGTCAACAGACTTCGCCCACTGCTTCGAGCAAGATGACAATGGAATCACTGGTTCATCTATGCAGCTCCGTGATGGAAGCTGTTAAGTCCATGACCGAATTTCTAAGATATTCGTATTCCGATCTATCTTACTCCAAATCTAGAAAATCATGGTTCCACACTTAGTTTTGGCTTGCTACTCAATTTGGACTATTTTTCTGCTTACAGGTTCCTTCTTGAATTTTCGACTTGCTTTTGTGTCAAAACGGGTTTCTCCACAACTTCACAATGTTTGGCTAGCATTATGATTTTACTTATTAATGGTTGTTTGGAAGATGCATAATAAAGTAAAGTTTGAAAGTAGGCCTTCTTCTTTTTTATGCTTATGTTGTTCTACTTTGCCTGGATTAGGTAAGTTGGAGTTTTAACTCATGGTCATGTACGTTGTATATTGGGTAAGCAATTTTTGGTCTCTTTTAGAATCTTGGTTGAGTCCTGTAAAGCTTCTTTTACAGTTCATGTTCTTTGGCATGCCCCTCCATTTCCATAGGTCAAAGTGAATAAGGATGACATTGCTAAAGGTAACCTAGATCTTGCGGCTTATATATGGTGGGGTTTTCCAAGATTATGCAGGTTATTTTCTTGGTGGTTTCTCCCTGAGTTTGGGCCATCATACTTCTTTCTGTACAGAGCTTTATGTTGTCATCCTTGCTACGGAGTTGGCTCATGCGCAGGGTTGGCTTATGGCTATTCTAATGTGATATATTGCTTTGCTTCTAGTTCTTTTTCTCCTTTTTGGTTGTTCCGAACTCATTGGAAAAACTTTATTTCTATGTTACAACACATGGTTTATTGTTGCTCCCATACATTTCGAGAAAAGAATGCATTTGTTGACAAATTAGCCATTTTAGAGCTTCTTTCATCTTTACTTGTTTGGCATGCCGACTTACATGTTTATCTCCCTTTTTTATGTATGATTTTCTTTTTTACCTAATCCTTTTGGATTTTACTTTTTGTTTTGCAGTTTATCATGCAAGTTCTTACCTTATAGCTTTTATTTTAGAGGGGTTTGGTCATAGATCTCCACTCCTTTTATTGTATTTTCTTTTTATCAGGGATAAGATTTATGCTCCCTTTCTTTTCTTGTACTTTCTTTTTCAAGAAGGTAATGTTTATTTCCTCCTCATTTTTTGTATTTTGGTTTTCTTGCTTTATAAGGGGTAAGGTTTATGTCTACCTAATTAGGTGTAATTTTTTTTTCAAATCAATAAAATTTTATCGTACGTCAAGATTTTCCAAAAAAAAAAGTGAAAATTGAAAACTTGTATGGTATAAAAATTGAAAATAAAAAACTAAAAGCTACTTTTTTTTAGTTTCATAATTTGGCTTGATTTTGATTTTCATGCATCATATATTTGAAACTGAAGGCAATTACTAAACTAGCTTTTAGTTAAAAAAAAAATAATAATAATAAAAACTAGAATGGTTGTCAAATGAGCATTTCATTAAATTTATCAACTTCAACAAAAGGGGCACGTAAGTGACAATATATGAGGTCATTAATTTTTTAGTAGAGTTTGGTGACTCTTAACTAGAGTTTGATAAACATTTCAGTAATTATATATAGTTTTCAGGCTTTGCTTAGTAATGTTTATCTGGTTTTTAATAATACCAAAATATGAAAATTAAAAATCAAAATCAAATAAAGGCATTTGCCTTGACCATTGTATTTATATTCGTAAGGCAGAAGAACTCATGGTTAAACATTCTTATAATGACCAAAATTATTCATTTAATTATAGGTTAAGATATAAAAAATAAAAAAAAGTTAAGGACAAGATGGTAAAAATGTGCAAATGAGCTATAGAGAGAGAAACGTGAGGGGAGTGTGTGACGGGAACACAGCTAGTACATCAAGTGTTATAATAAAATT